GCACGACAACACCTAATAACAGGTGATTAGAAATTTCTCTGTGGATACCAATAATCTTGAATATGTATTGAGTAGTTAAATCAATTGCTACTGGTAGTTATTTATTTTGCAGCTCGAGAGACGAATTCCTCATGCTGTCTTCTCCATGTTAACCGTGTCAGACGTCGGTGTACCAGACTTGGAGATTAAGAGGACTGCCAGGGTTATCTAAAGGAATCCATTACCAGCTAAGGCTTATTTCTTTTACTCATAACATTGCAATTTGATACATTCAGAATGTTTTCAACATAATGTGTGATTTACTGTAATTCATTATTATGCTCGTATTCATGTTCTTCTTTGTATGAATAATATTATATTCTACATTAATTATAGGATTAGATTATTATTAATAGAATTAGTGAACGAACCACACTGATTCCTGGACGTACTGACCTCCAGTAATAACCCCCCAATGTAGGTGTTTGAGGTTTGGTTTTAATAATACAGCCCATTAATTATTCTTATGATCATACTTTCTAGTCATATCCATAGTCACTGGTTTTCTCTAGAATTTTATCTAATGATCTGAAATTCTCAGTTTCCCTCTTTACTTTAAAAGCGGGTGGTCCTTCGTAATTTAATTTACTACTTTAATTATTAATTAATCAGAATCAAACCCAAATATCCCACATGGGATGTGACCGACCAAGCTGGACCAGCAGTGTGGGATGTGACCGACCAAGCTGGACCAGTAGTGTGGGATGTGACCGACCAAGCTGGACCAGCAGTGTGGGATGTGACCGACCAAGCTGGACCAGCAGTGTGGGATGTGACCGACCAAGCTGGACCAGCAGTGTGGGATGTGACGGACCAAGCTGGACCAGCAGTGTGGGATGTGACGGACCAAGCTGGACCAGCAGTGTGGGATGTGACGGACCAAGCTGGACCAGCAGTGTGGGATGTGACGGACCAAGCTGGACCAGCAGTGTGGGATGTGACCGACCAAGCTGGACCAGCTGTGTGGGATGTGACGGACCAAGCTGGACCAGCAGTGTGGGATGTGACGGACCAAGCTGGACCAGCTGTGTGGGATGTGACGGACCAAGCTGGACAAGCAGTGTGGGATGTGACCGACCAAGCTGGACCAGCAGTGTGGGATGTGACGGACCAAGCTGGACCAGTAGTGTGGGATGTGACGGACCAAGCTGGACCAGCAGTGTGGGATGTGACGGACCAAGCTGGACCAGTAGTGTGGGATGTGACCGACCAAGCTGGTCCAGCAGTGTGGGATGTGACCGACCAAGCTGGACCTGCAGTGTGGGATGTGACCGACCAAGCTGGACCAGCAGTGTGGGATGTGACCGACCAAGCTGGACCAGCAGTGTGGGATGTGACCGACCAAGCTGGACCAGTAGTGTGGGATGTGACCGACCAAGCTGGACCAGTAGTGTGGGATGTAACCGACCAAGCTGGACCAGCAGTGTGGGATGTGACCGACCAAGCTGGACCAGCAGTGTGGGATGTGACCGACCAAGCTGGACCAGTCGTGTAGGATGTGACCGACCAAGCTGGACCAGCAGTGTGGAATGTGACCGACCAAGCTGGACCAGCAGTGTGGGATGTGACCGACCAAGCTGGACCAGTAGTGTGGGATGTGACCGACCAAGCTGGACCAGTAGTGTGGGATGTGACCGACCAAGCTGGACCAGCAGTGTGGGATGTGACCGACCAAGCTGGACCAGCAGTGTGGGATGTGACCGACCAAGCTGGACCAGTAGTGTGGGATGTGACCGACCAAGCTGGACCAGCAGTGTGGGATGTGACCGACCAAGCTGGACCAGTAGTGTGGGATGTGACCGACCAAGCTGGACCAGTAGTGTGGGATGTGACCGACCAAGCTGGACCAGCAGTGTGGGATGTGACCGACCAAGCTGGACCAGCACTGTGGGATGTGACCGACCAAGCTGGACCAGCAGTGTGGGATGTGACCGACCAAGCTGGACCAGTAGTGTGGGATGTGACGGACCAAGCTGGACCAGCAGTGTGGGATGTGACCGACCAAGCTGGACCAGTAGTGTGGGATGTGACCGACCAAGCTGGACCAGCAGTGTGGGATGTGACCGACCAAGCTGGACCAGCAGTGTGGGATGTGACCGACCAAGCTGGACCAGTAGTGTGGGATGTGACGGACCAAGCTGGACCAGTAGTGTGGGATGTGACCGACCAAGCTGGACCAGTAGTGTGGGATGTGACCGACCAAGCTGGACCAGCAGTGTGGGATGTGACCGACCAACCTGGACCAGCAGTGTGGGATGTGACCGACCAAGCTGGACCAGTAGTGTGGGATGTGACGGACCAAGCTGGACCAGTAGTGTGGGATGTGACCGACCAAGCTGGACCAGTAGTGTGGGATGTGACCGACCAAGCTGGACCAGCAGTGTGGGATGTGACCGACCAAGCTGGACCAGTAGTGTGGGATGTGACCGACCAAGCTGGACCAGCAGTGTGGGATGTGACCGACCAAGCTGGACCAGCAGTGTGGGATGTGACCGACCAAGCTGGACCAGTAGTGTGGGATGTGACCGACCAAGCTGGACCAGCAGTGTGGGATGTGACCGACCAAGCTGGACCAGTAGTGTGGGATGTGACCGACCAAGCTGGACCAGCAGTGTGGGATGTGACCGACCAAGCTGGACCAGCAGTGTGGGATGTGACCGACCAAGCTGGACCAGTAGTGTGGGATGTGACCGACCAAGCTGGACCAGCAGTGTGGGATGTGACCGACCAAGCTGGACCAGTAGTGTGGGATGTGACCGACCAAGCTGGACCAGTAGTGTGGGATGTGACCGACCAAGCTGGACCAGCAGTGTGGGATGTGACCGACCAAGCTGGACCAGCACTGTGGGATGTGACCGACCAAGCTGGACCAGCAGTGTGGGATGTGACCGACCAAGCTGGACCAGTAGTGTGGGATGTGACGGACCAAGCTGGACCAGCAGTGTGGGATGTGACCGACCAAGCTGGACCAGTAGTGTGGGATGTGACCGACCAAGCTGGACCAGCAGTGTGGGATGTGACCGACCAAGCTGGACCAGCAGTGTGGGATGTGACCGACCAAGCTGGACCAGTAGTGTGGGATGTGACGGACCAAGCTGGACCAGTAGTGTGGGATGTGACCGACCAAGCTGGACCAGTAGTGTGGGATGTGACCGACCAAGCTGGACCAGCAGTGTGGGATGTGACCGACCAACCTGGACCAGCAGTGTGGGATGTGACCGACCAAGCTGGACCAGTAGTGTGGGATGTGACGGACCAAGCTGGACCAGTAGTGTGGGATGTGACCGACCAAGCTGGACCAGTAGTGTGGGATGTGACCGACCAAGCTGGACCAGCAGTGTGGGATGTGACCGACCAACCTGGACCAGCAGTGTGGGATGTGACCGACCAAGCTGGACCAGTAGTGTGGGATGTGACCGACCAAGCTGGACCAGTAGTGTGGGATGTGACCGACCAAGCTGGACCAGCAGTGTGGGATGTGACCGACCAAGCTGGACCAGCAGTGTGGGATGTGACCGACCAAGCTGGACCAGCAGTGTGGGATGTGACCGACCAAGCTGGACCAGTAGTGTGGGATGTGACCGACCAAGCTGGACCAGTAGTGTGGGATGTGACCGACCAAGCTGGACCAGCAGTGTGGGATGTGACCGACCAAGCTGGACCAGCAGTGTGGGATGTGACCGACCAAGCTGGACCAGCAGTGTGGGATGTGACCGACCAAGCTGGACCAGTAGTGTGGGATGTGACCGACCAAGCTGGACCAGTAGTGTGGGATGTGACCGACCAAGCTGGACCAGCAGTGTGGGATGTGACCGACCAAGCTGGACCAGCAGTGTGGGATGTGACCGACCAAGCTGGACCAGCAGTGTGGGATGTGACCGACCAAGCTGGACCAGTAGTGTGGGATGTGACCGACCAAGCTGGACCAGCAGTGTGGGATGTGACCGACCAAGCTGGACCAGCAGTGTGGGATGTGACCGACCAAGCTGGACCAGTAGTGTGGGATGTGACCGACCAAGCTGGACCAGTAGTGTGGGATGTGACCGACCAAGCTGGACCAGCAGTGTGGGATGTGACCGACCAAGCTGGACCAGCAGTGTGGGATGTGACCGACCAAGCTGGACCAGTAGTGTGGGATGTGACCGACCAAGCTGGACCAGTAGTGTGGGATGTGACCGACCAAGCTGGACCAGCAGTGTGGGATGTGACCGACCAAGCTGGACCAGCAGTGTGGGATGTGACCGACCAAGCTGGACCAGTAGTGTGGGATGTGACCGACCAAGCTGGACCAGCAGTGTGGGATGTGACCGACCAAGCTGGACCAGCAGTGTGGGATGTGACCGACCAAGCTGGACCAGTAGTGTGGGATGTGACCGACCAAGCTGGACCAGCATTGTGGGATGTGACCGACCAAGCTGGACCAGCAGTGTGGGATGTGACCGACCAAGCTGGACCAGTAGTGTGGGATGTGACCGACCAAGCCGGACCAGTAGTGTGGGATGTGACCGACCAAGCTGGACCAGCAGTGTGGGATGTGACCGACCAAGCTGGACCAGCAGTGTGGGATGTGACCGACCAAGCTGGACCAGTAGTGTGGGATGTGACCGACCAAGCTGGACCAGCAGTGTGGGATGTGACCGACCAAGCTGGACCAGTAGTGTGGGATGTGACCGACCAAGCTGGACCAGCAGTGTGGGATGTGACCGACCAAGCTGGACCAGTAGTGTGGGATGTGACCGACCAAGCTGGACCAGTAGTTTTTATCCGAGAAAAAACTTTCAAGGAAGTAACATTTTTGACATTGATATGTTGAGCAAAAACATATCTTCATATCATGTATGCTTCCGCTGGCATCAGGTTACTCTGAGCTTAAGTTGCGTTATCAACATTAACCGTTAGCTCCAGTGTTGCTGCCAAGCATTTACTGTTAACATATGTTTCTCGTAACTGTGATGCTGTCTCAAGTGTACTGCTAACAGTTGCTACCATTAGGACCAGTGTCGTTGTCAGTGGTGTACTAAAGACAGTGCCTGTGTTTTGCGCTGTATGGCGTCACTATTGCCTGGGTAGTGCAGCGTTTGCAGGACTGTACAGTAGGTGTTGAAAGCTTTGTTTGTGACCCTTTTAAATTGTCGAACTGTTGACAGTATTATATATGTTGCTCACTTGACCTTGACCTGTGGGTGAGACAATACCTTGACTTGTTTGTGACACCCATCTTTGCCTGGGTTATACCAAACTTCTTGCGCTGTGTGTGACCCAATGCCTCTACTTGCATGTGACCGAGCATCTGACCTGTATGTGATTCAATACGTTGGTCTGTGTGTGACCAAGTACCATGACCATTGTTTGACTCAATACACTGACCTGAGTGTAACCCAATACCGTGACTTTTGTGTGACCCAATACCGTGACCTGTGTGTGAACCAATATCGTGACCTGTGTGTGACCCAATATCGTGACCTGTGTGTGACCCAATACCATGACCTGTGTGTGACCCAATACCATGACCTGTGTGTGACCCAATACCATGACCTGTGTGTGACCCAATACCATGACCTGTGTGTGACCCAATACCATGACCTGTGTGTGACCCAATACCATGACCTGTGTGTGACCCAATACCATGACCTGTGTGTGACCCAATACCGTGACCTGTGTGTGACCCAATACTATGACCTATGTGTGACCCAATACCATGATCTGTGTGTGACCCAATACCATGACCTGTGTGTGACCCAATACCATGACCTGTGTGTGACCCAATACTATGACCTGTGTGTGACCCAATACCATGACCTGTGTGTGACCCAATACCATGACCTGTGTGTGACCCAATACTATGACCTGTGTGTGACCCAATACCATGACCTATAACCAAAGACCAGTGCAACCTCTGTGTGTGACCTTGTGTGACCTGTGTGTGATCTAAAACCCTGACCTGTGTATTGCCCACGAGTATGACCTCTCACCACCACAGCTGTTCCCAGCACAATGTTTCCCAACTTGGAGGCCCCAAGTCAGAGGTCACCATCACTGAGATCACTAACACAGTGGTCACCAACACAGTTGTGGGAATTTATTCTTACCTTTTTAACTCTAAAATAAGCAACTAACTAGCCACTTGGAAAATGTTTTCTTCTTTGGCTAGTGGACTCTATCTATTCTCTGTTCCGTAAATATCTCCATTCCCACAGTGATCCAATAGAAATGAGGCTGCTTTCATTTACCTGTTTAATGAGAAAATCTCCACTTTCCACTTGGTAAAAAAGAATATGTATAAGTGCATCTCTGATATGGTTAAAAATTATTTTAGCCTATCCTTTTGTTCTGGTAACTTGTTACATATGAAATATTATAAACAACTAGCAGTACCCGGCCACGCGTTGCTGTGGCTCAGCAACGCATGTACGTTCCTGAGCCACAGCAACCTTTCCTTTTCCTCAGTCCTTCCCACCATTCCCCCCTCACCCGTCTCCTCGTCCTTCCCACCATGCCCCACTCCCCTGTCCCTTTGTCCTCCCCACAATTCTCCATTCCCCCCATTCCCTCGTCCCCCCATCCCAAACTCCCCCCGTCCCCTCGTCATCCCCACCATTCCCCACTCCCTCTTCCGATGCCTTCCCAAAATGTCTGATGTTCCCATCAGAAAATTGGGAACATCAAGTGATCTGATGTTCTCAAGTGATCTGAAATATACGAAAAACAGTTAAAAATGGAATGAAAATATGAAAAAAAAAAACTATACTCATGAAATGAATGGTATGGTAAACAACACAGCTCAATTCCAACTTAATTCACACAAAATAATTAAATCAAAATGAAAATAAATCAAAATCTATGAAAATTCAATTTATCATTGCAATCAGAAACATTGAAATGGAATTATAACCTATTTAGTATAGCATGTGTGTTGCCTTTATATGCAACAGATGGCACTGTTTTTCAAGAAAAAACTGTCACAGGTATGGCATCCATACTTATTCTTACAAAATGAACGGTATGGTAAAAACACAGCTCAGTTCCAACACAAAGTCATACAAACTAATTCAATAAAAAATTAAATAAATTGAAATCTATGAAAATAAAATTTATTAATGCAATCGGAAACATTGAAATGGAATTCGTGACATATTTAGTATAGCGTACAAGAGGCTATTATGTGCAACAGATGGCGGTGTTTTTCAAAAACGCATGTTTTTACCTGTCACAGAGGTGGCATCTATATAGTAGGTATATAAAAAGACGTGTCTATTCGAATGCAACGTTGTGTCAAAATTTCAAACCAATCGGTGAAGAATTTTCGGAGATTACAGCGTGTGTTGCTCTTACGTCCAACAGATGGCGCTGTTTTTCAAGACAAGTATGATTTTTCCTAATACAGGTGAGGCATGTATATATTAGATATATAAAAAGACGCGCCTATTCGAATGCAACGTTGTGTTAAAATTTCAAAGCAATCGGTAAAGAGTTGACCAAACCACACACTAGAAGGTGAAGGGACGACGACGTTTCGGTCCGTCCTGAACCATTCTCAAGTCGATTGTGAGTTGTGAATGATTGAGATGTGAATGAACGATTGTGATTGACAATCGACTTGAGAATGGTCCAGGACGGACCGAAACGTCGTCGTCCCTTCACCTTCTAGTGTGTGGTCTAGTCAACATACTTTAGCCACGTTATTGTGACACATTGCCCGCAATCGGTAAAGAAATTTCGAAGATTGCCTCACATGAAAAACACATCAAAAACACAGTTTTTCAAAAAAAGCATGTTTTTTTTTTACCATCACAGACGTGATATCTATATAGTATGTATATAAAAACCTGGCCGGATGCGAATGGAAGGTTGTGTGAAAATTTGAATGCAATCGGTGAAAAACTTTCGGAGATTGGCGATTTTCAAAAGTTGGACAGCTTTTCAATTCATTAGGGAGTGAGTGCCATAGCCTAAGTTCCCTTTATTTGCATAGAGTGTTTACACAGATTAAGTTTGACTCTGGGGATATCAAAGAGATATTTATTTCTGGTGTGGTGATTATGGGTCATATTACATCTGTCCAGGGAGAGTTTCAGAGTAGGGGTTTGCATTTAAGAACAGGGTTTTGTAGATGTAGTTGACACAAGAGAATGTGTGGAGTGAGTTTATGTTTAGCATGTTTAGGGATTTAAACAAGGGATATGGTTGTTTTCTGAGTGCAGAATTTGTTATTATTTGAGATAGTTTGGAGTGGTTGAGCCCCATGCACAGATACCGTAATTAAGATTGGGATAGATTAGTGCTTAATATAGTGAGATGAGAGCTGAGTTAGGTACATAATATCTGATTTTGGAGAGTATACCAACTGTTTTAGAGACATTCTTAGTTATGTGTTGTATGTGGGTACTGAAGTTGAGTCTCTTGTCTAGGAATAGGCCAAGAAACTTTCCATCATTTTTATTACTAGTGTTAACATTGTCTATCTGAAGCTGAATTGCATTTCTTGATTTGCTTCCTAATAAGATGTAGTAGGTCTTTTTTATGTTAAGCGTTAGTTTGTTGGTTGACATCCATAAGTGGACTTTTTTTAGTTCATTATTAACAACATTATTTAGTGTATGTGGGTTGGAGTTTGAGTAGATGAGGGTAGTATCATCAGCAAACAATATAGGTTTAAAAATGTTAGAGACATAAGACAGATCATTGATGTATATAAGAAATAGGAGAGGGCCGAAGACGCTGCCCTGTGGCACTGTAACGGTTATTGGTAGAGTGGGAGAGGTTATATTATTGATGGCTACTGTTATGAGCTCAGGTAGCCAAAAAACGAGTCTCCCATTTGAGAATTATTCTATCAAGCCTGACCTGACTAGGAGGTCGGAGATATACAGACATGAAGATTCATATGTAAAAATAATTGGGTAAATTTTACAGAGTTTAAGAATGTGGGCAGTGAATAAGAAAATAGATAAATGACTGGTTAGGAGATGTGGCCAAGTTTTCAATAAGCCAGAATAAGCCAAGTTTTCATGAATTAATTGTTTTTCGACTACCTAACCTACCTAACCTAACTTTTTCGGCTACCTAACCTAACCTAACCTAACCTATAAACATAGGTTAGGTTAGGTAGGGTTGGTTAGGTTCGGTCATATTTCTACGTTAATTTTAACTCCAATAAAAAAAATTGACCTCATACATAATGAAATGGGTAGCTTTATCATTTCATAAGAAAAAAAATAGAGAAAATATATTAATTCAGGAAAACTTGGCTTATTAGGCAAATCGGGCCTTGCATAGTAGGCTGAGAAGTGAGTTCTGGCTACTAGGTACGACATATATATATATATATATATATATATATATATATATATATATATATATATATATATATATATATATATATATATATATATATATATATATATATATATGCAACAATGATCACAAAAACACTGATCCAAGTATGCAGAATAACCACATGTGAAAAATTGAGAATGCTTAACGCGTTTTCGGCTAATTCGCCTTCATCAGAGCAAAGTAGAATGAAGATAAGAAAAAATATTGCTGATCAGACCTTTATATCCGCCTGGGCAGATCACCTCACCACCAAGAATAAGTGAAGGAAAGGAATTATAAGAAAGTAACTGCAGAAGGCCTATTGGCCCATACGAGGCAGCTCCTATTAATATCTCCAAGTGCCATACGTGTTAAATAGATGCTATATTGTTTTGACGTGCTATATTGAGGCTTAAATAGGGATCCAACTTGTACATACCGGGACTCACATTAAGGCTGTTGTTGCAATGTTTGATCAGAGCAGACTCGATCACGTTTCGTTCAACAAAATCCTTACTTTTAACAATACATTTTGCCCATGTGAAGTCGGTAGAATGATTACATAAACTGGAATGTAAATACAATGCACTGGAGTGCTGGGCTGTACGAATAGCATATGAATGCTGTTTTAAACGCGAGGAAAGAGATTTACCTGTCTGGCCGATGTAAACACATTCACACTCATTACAAGGGATGGAATACACACAACCAGCTACAGACGAGGACGAGTTCTTAATTAACATGGACTTAACTGTATTATCATTTTTCAACACTAGAT